ATAATAATAATAATGAAGATTTCTAAAGCGCCCACTCCCGTGTAAACACAGCTCTAGGCGCTTTACATAAATGCATGTACGAACAATATTCACGCACGCGACACACACACACACACAATTACACACACTCACACACACACACACACACACAAACACAAACACACACACATGATATACACATTCACACACAAACACACACATACACACTCACGAACACATAACACGCACACATGTGCACACACATGTACGCCAAACACACACACACACACACACACACACACACACACACACACACACACACACATACACACATCTACTTGCTTATCACACGAACACGCTTACACATCGTAATGAAATGAGCATAAAATAATATACACAATGCAATTCACAAAATCATCAATGGATACATAGTCATTTACATAACATTGTACCGAACATGAATCTACTGACATAAAAAGGATGTCATTAAATGTGTCTTTAAAGATTTTTTAAATTTAGACTCAGATGCTGTATGTCTCAAGGGTTCGGGAAGAGAGTTCCAGACTGACGGAGCAAGGTGGGCGAACGATCTTTCAGCAAATTTTTTACCCCCTTTTCTAGGAACTCTTAAAAGATACTGATTGCCTGATCTTAGTGATCTAGATGGAACATAAATCTGGATGAAATCACTAAGATATGAGGGAGCTTTGTTGTTTACACATTTATGACATAATATTGCAATTTTATATGACATTCTGGCTGACACGGGAAGCCAATGCAACGTTCTTAACATGGGAGTATTGTGGTCACTCTTCTTTTTCTATAGTACAAGCCTAGCAGCATGATTTTGAAAACGTTGTAACTTGTGAAGAGTGGTATTTGGTAAGTTAGCTAGTAAAGCATTGCAATAATCGATGCGTGAAAACAAGAAAGATGACACGAGCGTTTTCAACGAGTGTTCATTCAAAAGAATAGACATACGACCAATTCTACGCAATTCACAAAATTATATGGAACATAAATAATTGATATGATGTTCCATTGACAATTTTGAATCAAAATACACTCCCAGATTTTTTGCTTTATTAGTAAAATACAGTTTTCCATTTTCAGTTCAAATATGATCAATGTCTACGGGGATATGGCTTTTCTTTGGGTTACATAAAAGAATTTCAGTTTTATTTTCATTAAGCTGGAGCTTATTATCAACTATCCACTTTTTGATTTCATCAATGCACAGACCCATGGTAGTAACCAGGGTTTTAACATCTGATGGTGGAACAGATTTATATAATTGTGTATCGTCAGCGTACATGTGATAATTCATATTGTGCTTTCTAATCACAGCTCCACGCGCCAGAGTATATAACGTATACAAAATTGGACCCAATACTGAACCTTGAGGCACTCCAAAGTCTAGCTTAAAAATTGACGAAAGAGAGTCATGCACAACCACAGATTGTGTACGGCCAATCAGGTAGGACCGGAACCAGTCAAGAACCCTGCCAGACAGGCCAAACATGTTGAACAATCGTTCAATAAGACAGCACTAAGATAAAGAAGAGAAAGAATTGATATTTTGTTCTGATTGGCCTCACACAAGAGGTCGTTATATATTTTCAATAGCGCAGTTTCTGTGTTATGAAATTGTCGATAGGCAGATTGATATAATTCATATAAATTGTTTTCTTTTAAATGATTCTTCAATAGAACCAAAACAACTTTCTCCAAGATTTTTGATAAAAAGGGAAAGTTGGAGACAGGTCTGAAATTGTTTAGCTCCTCCGGGGAAAGAATCATGGGCAAAATACGTCATCTAAATGCACCTGCAAATGCTCTTCACTTACATAAAACCCGTTCCCGGTTCGTTAATCAAAATTGAGGGCGTGGTTTAAAGCAAGAACTCCACTTAGCAATACGTTTTAGCGGTCTTTGAGGGCGTGGTTTAAAGCAAGAACTCCACTTACTCCCAAATAATGATTATAGAGCAAAATAAATCTTCCCTCTAGATAAATATAAAAAACCCGATCTGCGAGTGTGATCACGCTGTGAAATTATGTCAAACCCGATCTGCGAGTGTGATCACGCTGTGAAATTATGTCAACCATTGCGTGCACAGTTATTGAACGAGCCAAAGCTAGATCCACAGCAGCTTGGTCAGCAGGTCATTCCCTCGACAATTTCTAAAAATCAACCTTCACTTTTCTCTCACTCGATGTGTCTACTTACGTTTTTTTGTTTGGAGGAAATGTTAAGCGTTCTTTCAGTTTAGATCCCAAGACAATTTCAAAATATTTCTAACTTGTCTTTCCTTGATGAGTTGTTTATTCGTTTGCTTACTTTTTATAATGGAATAAGATTTATTTCCACAGTGTAGAACGCCAGAGATGAGATCTTTTTTTAGAAATCCTCGCTCAGCGAGGTCGAAGTTGTTTGCTTGTCCTCGATGGAGTGTGAACATCAAAGGGAAACGAGTCTTGACAAAGAGCTTGGGAAGGGTTTTGGTAAACATTGGGACGTTAGTAGGGTCATAGTAAAAAGTATTGATATTAATAATAACAATAATAATATTAACAATATTAATAATAATATTAATGTAATAATACTAATCCTAATCATCATCATCATCATCATCATCATCATCATCATCATCATCATCATCATCATCATCATCATCATCATCATCATCAT